GGGAAGAAGAAATGGCTTCGACGACAGCGAGGGAGAAGATCCGGCTTCAACGAGAGCGAGACGACAAGATCCAGCTTCGACGAGAGACAGAGGACAAGATCCGGCTTCGACGGGAGGGCGAGGAGGAAGATACGGCTTCGAACAATCGAGAGAGGTCGCGGAAGAGGCCAAGGAAAAAGGAAAAAGGCAATGTCACGGGAGAGGCCAAGGTCACGGGTAGCGATCCATCAGGGTTAATGCGGAAAAAATAATTGCGAAATGCGGACCGCAGGGGTCAGCCGGTGGTCCGCGTGTTTTAGAAAATCAAAAACGCGTTTTTAAATAATTTGTGAATAAGTGCGAACCAAACGGTATGACGGCGTTTTCAAAACGCCGCCCGCACTTGTAAGCTGTCCCAAACGGGCCCTCAATCTAAAAAGTTATTAGATTATAATTTTGATTGAATAAATTTTTATTTTGATATATTGAAAGTAATCATATATTATAGAGTATTGATATTACTATTGCTTAGCTCAAATTAAAGACGAAGTAAAACTTAAGGGTAGGCTTGGGGTGGCTGCAGCTTTTTAAAACGGTGTTTGTAAAGCTATGGTAGAGAAAACAATTATTTAGAAAGTTGTAATGAGAATTAAAAAATAAATATTTTTTTTTACGAGAAAGCCAGCGTTCTTAAAACATCGAACTTTAACATATCAGAATAAAAAAATATAGCTTAGCACTAAAGAAATTTCTAAAAAGCAGAAATAAATCAAATTCCCAAATGGAACTATGATGGTGGTATGAAACACAAAAAAATATAAAATTGTCCTGAACAAACCCCTAACTTGTACACAAACCATTTCTTTCAATTATCAAGTAAATTAAAAATAGGAGCTTGAGTTAAAGTTTGTTGAGCCAAAAATTACTCTAAATTTAGGGAATGTTTGGGGCAGCTGCAACTTATTGAATAATTTGAAGATAAGCTAGGTGCGATGACTATTATAAATTTTTATTTTCTTATAAAAGTCAGACCGCTGCCAGAAAGTTGTCATCGGTGTGAAAACACTATTTTCAGTGTTTTGAAAATGCATAAGCTGCTAAAAAGCAGTTTACCCAAAATGGTCAGGTGCATTTTCAAAACGTCACCGCACCTAATAAGCTGCCTCAAACGGGCCCTTAATGTTTTTTTTCTATTAAGGCAAATTATTTGTCCCATAAATATACAAACACACCTTTATAAATTTATTTAAGCTCTTTCATTTCAAGATGAACATGATTATCCATTATTGTTCAAGTGAAATTTACAATCCTACCCATTTTTACACTCCATCGCCTTTTTTTCTTCCCCCTTGCCCATTGCTTTATAATGATATTGAATTTGACTTGAAAGATATGACGTTGAAAAATAAAATAAAAAAAGATTTATAAATTGAACCTAGCCTATATTGGACACGGGGCCAGAATAGGTTAGGTTTGGTGACACTCGCTTTCCATCACCGCTCATAAAGTGGTCGTCTTTATAATTGAGAATGTCGGAGAAGTATAATCTTGGGAAATTCATACACCTATCACACAATTATTATATATTTACATATATGTTGTGCTCAAAATTTGTTATTTATATTTATGGCATTTTGGTGAGGTAAATACGCAACATTGCGTACGTAAAAGAAATTAATCAGAGGGCGCGTTATACCCCCTGTAACATTTATGTAACCTACCTGTACCTTCTAGTAAGTTCCGCGCTTCTGTTTTCATATATTTATAGGTTACACGTAGATTATAGAAATGTTATAGAGGGTATAACGTGGATATTAACCTTCCTGACATACGCAGCGTTGCGTACGTTTAGTGCATGCAAATTTCTCTCTATATTTAGGCATAAAAAGGTTGTTTTCTCTTTTTAAAAAATAGTAATAGTGATACTTATCATATCATATTAAAGATTTAAGTGTTATGTGTAAATATAAAAATTTCGGTGGTAAATATATAAATATATAAGAATTGTGTTGTATGTCGTTTAACGTTTAAGGAAAATAAAAGATTATAAAGAAACTGATATTTTTTTGAAGCTGTTAAAATATTTTGAGTGTTGCAAAAATATAAATATGAAACTTTGGTATTCGATATATAAATACATGAAAATTGTGTGGTATGTGTGTAAATGCTTCTGCTTTATCTTATGGGGGAGGCAAATATACTTTGGCTTACAAAAACATTATGTCTAGTTAAACAAATTTTATTTTATTAAACTCAGACTAGAGGAAACTTACAACTGACAAGCAGATGTCCGACCAACTGATCCGAATACGCACACAATATATATATATACGTGACACATGGTGGGTGGTCACTCGGCTCTAGCATTTTGATGTAACACAATTAGATTTAAAACATACTAAAAAAAAGGTATGCAGAGTAGATCCATTTCTAAGTGAGTAATCATATACTTGCTCTTGCCATAATAAATATTATCACAAACTATAAATTAAAATAGTTAATTATAGAAATCCAAGCAATTAATGCTAGAATGAATATGCTCGACTCCTGGTAGCCACTACTTTATTTCATCCTCTCATCTACACGTAGTCCTAATAATTGTGATTTAGTTGACTTTCTTATTATCATAAATAATTATTTTTTTTTTTATCAAATTAGTTAAATATATTTTAAACTTATTTTAGAGACAGAAAATATTTGAAAATTTGCAACGATTTTTATTGAGAATGAGAATTGAGAATGAGTCTCTTAATAACAAATTATATAAATAATATATTTTCTTTTAGCTTTCAAATATAGATATCTATTATTAATTACAAAAATATTGTAAATATTATAAAGAATTTCATGCAAGACTTTACTAGTTCAACATAAATGAAAAAGTATAATTTAAAATAAAAAAGGTGTAGAACTAAATATTTTCATTTAATTTTGACAAAAATTATCTTTAAAATCTTAAATTTAATTTTAGATTCATGTAATTTTTAATTAATCAATCAACCTTTTTATTACACTCATTTTAAAATAAATTTTATTTTTATTTATAATTTTCAAAACTAATTTTTAATTCATTTTTCTCGTTATAAATGTCAAATATTTTATATTCTATACTTTTACTAGTTCATGTTATCATCATATAAATCATTTGTTTAAATATATTGATTAAGGTGTGATAATTTTATCTTATTTTTAATTGACAAGAAGTGTCTAATTTTAATATCCAATTAATAAATTATAATATTTTTATAACTACATATTTACATACATAACACCAATTCTTATGCATTTACTTATCCACCAGAAAAAGTTTCATTTTCTCATGCATTTACGATGGCTTCCAGTTCTAAAGAAAAGGTCAAAGTAAGCAGTTGACCCTTGTTTTATCTTAACCCCGCCATCCACGGCCTCCTCCACAGTCCACCCGCGCTCTCTCTCTTAGAAATTCTCCTCCGATCGGCTAATCGCCATTACTATAAGAACCCAGCTTCACCTTGTATTTTCAGACAAGTTAGAGAGAGAGAGAGAGAGTCTCCATTTTTTCTTCTTTTTTTCATCTATTTTCATTAGGTATAAACGGTTGGTCGGGAATCGAACTGCGATTAGATGGCGAAACTCTACGCGCAGACGGTACCACCGCCGGATCTGAACAAGAACACGGAGTGGTTCATGTATCCGGGAGTGTGGACTACCTACATCCTCATCATCTTCTTCTTCTGGCTCGTTGTCCTCTCCGTCTTCGGCTGCACGCCTGGCATGGCGTGGACAATCGTTAACCTTACTCACTTCGCCGTACGCACTGCCCTCTAATCTCTATCCCATACGTTTTGATTATGCTTTTCATTTGTATTTTCTGAGGAGCATGATTGTATGTTACCCTCTTTTGCCGTTTTTTGGGGCCATGTTGTCAATTCTTATCTGGAATTGTGTTGTTTGAGCTATCCTTTGAAATTTTTTTTAAATTAAGTTCATGCATTTGGCTGCATATATATGCTTCATTTGATTTGGTTTTTGAGGGGGAGGATCTAGGGCTCAAGTGTCAGCGGGTCTGGGTGATTTTAAATAGATCATTGTAAAAGTTTCTTTGCGGCAGGGAATCCGTCAAGTGGATGAAGCAATATGTTGGCTTTTTTAATCCTGGAAAGCACATGAAAGTTTAAACCGATCTTTTGTTGTGATAATGTTTGAATTGTCTTTTAGCTTTTTGTTGTTGGCATCTTTTGCCTCTTACTTCCTTCACCCTGTCTTGAGAATCCAAATTGGATCGTTAGTATACGTCATGGTAGATAAACGGGTGAGATTGATAATACTTTGATGAAGATGTTTGTTAGTTGATACTTATATGTACCATGATAGATTGAGATTTGGTTAGTATTGATAGAATCCCCAATAAAATGATAATCAATTTTAATGTGCTTAGTGTGAGCATTAAAGTTTGGATTATTGACGACCACTAAATATAATATATTGTTGCAATATAAGGGGGTTTCTTGGGATGGGGAGATGTTGAATTCTTATTGTAGGTGGTGTAACCAGATAACATTGACAATCTGAGGGCATGAAATCTGCTTCAATAAATGAGTGGGCATTGTTCCCTGATGACTCATTTCAGTGCATCATGAAATGAGCCTATCGTTTAGAAACACACAATAACCAATTGTTGTTCTTCTATCAATTTTGTCTTATATACATTACAAATCAGATAAAACCTTAGGTGAAGGTTTCCTTGCTGAATGGGGAGTTTACATCAAATTATGCTTATTATATATCAGAGTTAGCATTTAAGTTTCTAAAAATGCATGGATGTTGAGGGTTTTGTGCATGTATTGATGCACTCGTCTGTTCACAACCAAGGAGATATCTTCCGGTCTCATGATAGTAAGGTACTGAAGTGAGCTTACTTGCACCTAAAGAATTCACTGTTGGCAAATTCTGAATCTAGGCTCTCATTGAGTGTTGGTTTTCTAGAAAATAGGTTTTTGATGCCCTATATTTGCTTGTGCCTAAGCATTAGATTAGATCAAGAACATATTTGGTCTGATATAGATGAAGGCTGATGGGGTTTATTGTGCTTAGATACTCAAAAAGCTTGATATGAGGCTGCATTTGTGCATTTGGAATCATTAGTTATGATTATGAAGCTATTTGGAGATGTTGGTTGGATTAATACTTGTGAGGAGTTTGCCATACACCTATATCAGAATGTACATGAGGAAATTGTGGCAATGTAAGTCTAGAGGAAGAGTAAAATTGAGGCACTATAGTTGGTAGGAAAATATATTAGACCAATGTTGTGGTTCTTCTTTGAGGTCTTATGTTCCTTTTTGGAGATGACACAAATGATGCAAATTTTGTCAGTCATGGAAGCCTTATGATTGTTCCATGCAGACTGCTTCAATGATTCTGGCATCCAAGAAAGCATTGGAGACGTCGTGTTTGGTCAGGGCTAGTAACGTGGAGAACTACAATGGGAGGGATTTGAATGGTAGGCATTTTGTCATATGTTTGAACAAAATGTCTCATGTCACATTCCTACTTGTAGCTTCGAGTTACCAATATGGCTTTGTTTCTTGCTATAGATCTATCCTAATTGATTTTAGTTTTATATGTCCATTTGTAACCCAAAATCTTGTGGTTAGAGGGGGCTAGTATCCAAATTTCCTTGGATTGAAGCATCTAAAATTCTTCAAACATAGCTTTCCATCATTTGGCGTCTTTGACAAGAATAGAGAAATAAGTCGAATGGGAATGGGAAGTGTGATTCAAGTTGAAGATGTGTTTCAAATTTCGATGGTCAGCCTTTAGGCAAGTTAGCATGTGGTGGCCTATGGGTTCCTAGAAATGAGTGTTGTGTGTTGATTGCTTTGCTTGGATTTGAAAGTTTAGGTTAGATGCTTGAGATAGGAAGGCAAAGACATGGATATGCTAGAGTGTGCGATGCAATATCTATGGAATTGTGAAGTGACGAGGGAGCCTTTATGCCTAAACTTAGAACTTAGCTTAGAATAAGGGCGAGTGATGATTAATAAGGAGATGTGTTGGTTGTGGTGAATTTTTCGAGGTGGGGGGATTTTAGGGAGAGTTTTTTTTATGAAAGGTGATGTGACAACAAGTAAATATTTTGTTATGAGAGAGGTTATTGCATTTCTTACCTTTGTGGGAGTAAGCGTAGCTAAGAAATATGCAACTGGCGGATCAAAGTGCAAGTCCGTGCATCAAATATGGTTGTAGCCATTGGTTCATTGTCACCAAACAATTTTGAGATGCCGGTATAAGGATGATTTATTGTATAACACTTGAGGTGAGGAAGGATTTGTTGTTGTGGGAGATGGTAAAAGATTGATTTTGTAGATTGCATTTAAAAGGTAGGTGCGAGGTCAGTTGTGCGCTTGAAGAAGTGTACGAGTGTAATTAATTTATGGTGTTCCGTTCAACAACTACTATTTTGTTCAAGAGTATGGAAAGTTATACTGGTGGAAGATGCCTTGTTTAGTGGGAGAGTTTGAAATTATATTGGTGGAGGCTGCCAACGTTTAAGTGAAGTGTTTATAGTTGGGTTTAGAAGTATTGTTCAATCATGATTTTGAATTGGATGAATTTGAAGATTGTTTATGATTTATTTTTCATTAGATATACTTCGGGGAGGAATCCTATACATTAGAGTGTACAATTCAAAAAGATGGGTACTATATGAAGTAGTTGTTATAAAAAATTTTCATAGTCTTTTAGGTAAGTAACCGAGGTTGCGTCTAGGAACTAAAGAGGAAATACATATGATAGGATTATTCTTTTTTGAAGTATATAATGTAAAAAATATAGCCAAGTTTGCCTACCCTTGTAATTATGAAGGTTACGATGGAGAGTAGGGCAACATTGTTAGGCAGTGGGCATGATGCTGGAGAGGATTGAAACGTGTATATGCCATCACAGTGGGGTCCCATGAAATGCGTACAAACCATTGTCATCAAACGATATGGAGCATGAGTTGTCATTATTGAGGCTATATATAGAGAGGAGACTATAGAAAAGATTAGGAACATAAAGGAATATGCTGTAAGTGGAGCCTATAGTGGGGAGTCCTGAAGATGCCTTGATTGTCATTCAAAATGGAGAGAGTGATACCATTTCTAAGCATCAATTTCGAGTTCCCTTGATAGTTTTGCTTGTTGACCAACTATGTCAAGTCAGAGGTGAGGTGAGAGATAGTTGTCGAGTTTAGGTACTGGTCATTTACCATTTGTAGGTATTCCCGCGAAGAGGGTACGAGAGGATGTGGAATTTTTGTAGCTCATATTTGTGTGATGTCAATACTATATTATAGAATGTCCCTGTTTGCCACAGATTTGCGCTCAAGAAATGATTGGGTGGTTTGGCCTTCTCGTGGGGAAATGTCTTGGTATAGCGACCTTGCTTGAAGGTTATAAGAGGGGTCCAACCTTGGGTTGAGTATGGTGTGAAATATTTGTTGTAGTGTCTCCCACTAGTTTGCTGGTGTACTCATTATCGATATCTAAGTGGAGCATTTAAAAGTGAGTGAGGAATCATCATTCCACAAGATTTTGAAGTAAATGTATTTGGAGTTTGTTTATGATTTATATTTCATTGGATTTACCTAGTGAAAGCAAGAGAAGCCATCTATAAATAACACATTTATATCTTTTGGAGATAATAATCACAGAATGATCTTATATATCAGAGAGTACAAGGGCAAAATGATGACTACTATGTGAAGTAGCTTATATAATGAAGTATCTATGGCTTTAGCTAAATGACAAGGGTTGCATAGAGGAATTGAAGAGAAAATATATTCAATAGTGTCATATTTTGTTGATGTAGATAATATAGTAAAACGTTGATTGCCAAGTCTACTGAGCCATGCAATTATGAAGGCTGTGGTGGAGAGCAAGACAACATTTGTGGGCAGTGGAGATGACTGTTGGGAGGAATGAACTATCGATGTCATAATGACAGGGTCTTGTTAGAATATTTTGACTTATATTTGTTTTTAATTTGATAACCACAGACATCAAAGGAAATGGAGCATGAGTTTTCAATGGTGTGCCAATAGAGGAGGGAGTTTGTAAGAAAGATTATGAACTTGAAAAATTATCGCAAGAAGAGCTTTTAGTGGGGAGTTGAGAGGATGCCTTGGTCAATGCTTGAGATTGGTAGAGTGTGACATTTTTCAAGTGCCACTTGTTGTGTTTCGTGATAGGTTTGTGGGTTGATCAACCATGTGAAAATAAAGATGAAGTAAATGGTGACACTTGATTTCATATACCAATTTTTTGCTATAATAGGTGCTCTTATGAAGAGAACATGAGAGGATATGGGATTGTTACAGCTCATAATTTTGTGATGCTAGCGCTTGATGTTAGAATGTCTTAGACTCCTAGTTTGTCGCAGATCTGATGCTGAAGGTGCAATTAGGTGGTTTGGCCTTCCCACAAGAGTTTGGCGGACTTGAAGGAGCTCGAAGTCGCCCAACCTTGGGTTGAGCAAGATGTGAATGACCTATTATTGTCTCTTTCATGATTTGCTATGAGAGTTAAACAAGGATTGGCCACCTGAGCGGATTAAATCTCACGGGCTGCTTCATTGGGCAAGTTAGTCTCCTCCTTGCATAGTACATAGTAAAGGTCATGAAGGCTTAATAAATGGGAATTTGTGTAGATAGTTGTTTTGAAGATATGATAGATCAAAGCCCAATTCAAGTTATAAAGCTTGATGTCCTTTTAATCAAGACTAATCTGAGTATTGATATGAAATTAACTTTTGATTTAGGGTCCATTTGGGACAGCTTTCTAGCTACTTTATTTTTCAACCCGACACCACAATTCTATTTGGGAAACTACTTCCTTGTTGTTTTCTAGAAATTTTTATGGAAAAAAGTTGTTTTTTAGAAATTTTTATGGAAGAAAGTTGTTTTTCTCCACCTAATCTGTTTGGGAAACTGTGATCTGATTTTTTCGAAATTAAAAAAAATAATAGTTACCGTAACTTTTTGAACAACTGCTTCTTCTGCAGTAGTTGATAGGAATCACACAACAAATAATTCCTAACTTTATCGGGGCTTAGAATCAATTAGAAACTAAATCACACCAAGAAATAATGAGAGCACACCAATTCAATAAAAAAAATAGAAAAAAATTAAAATAGAATCACAATTAAAGTAACCAGAAAAGCACACGTAAATTTACGTGGAAAAACCCCAGAACGGGAAAAAACTACGGAGCCTCGTCACTAGAAATTTTAACTATGAATTTCAAAAGGTTTTACAAAAAACTCACACAAATTTTCTCTCCACACACAAAGAAAACTTACTAGACTTGCTCCAAAATCTTACAAAAAACTCACACAAGTTTTCTCTCCACACACTAAGAAAACTTACTAGACTCGCTCCAAAATTTTCCCTCTCTGATTTGACGCAAAAATCACTCCAAATCACCCAAATCCACCTTCGACACTCTTCACCTTCATCGGGATGCTGGTTGAAGAATATCAATAGAAGATATATCAAGCTCTACCTCAATACGCTCGAAATCGGAATTAAAAATTAATTCCAATCATCAATCGCTCCTGGTGCATAGATGCGTGAACTTGGTGCCTATGTGTCAAGCTCTTGGGAGACATGTGCCTTAGTTGGCGCCTAAGCACTTCTATGGGTGCATATGTGCCCAAAGCAGGCGCACAGGCGTCAGCTTCTCTGTTCGAGCAGCACCCAAATGCACACTTAATCTCCCACAACTCGATGCATAGACGCTTGTGCTCTGTCTCACTGCTCGCGAAATCAGTCTTCACCCCTAATAATAGTTTCATAGCTGATTCTTCAAACAACTGCAGCTTCCCCCAAACATAATGTCACAGAGATATTTTGTTATGGACTGATTATTTATGTGTATGACAAATTTCTTTTTTGAGCTGTAATGTTGCATAACTTGGGAGTGATTTGTGGATTGTAGTCCAAATATCTGCACATAAATCAAGATTAAGGAAGGCGTAGAAAGGGGGTATTATGGTGGAAATTAGTGTAGTAGCTATGTTCTAATTAATTAATAAGCACCCAGGTTTGTTGTTGAGTATTGGGAAGAATGATGTTGTTTGAATCCTAGAGTTGTCGTACAGGACAAACTTTGGAGCTGTTAAGATATACTTTGAATCTATTGGCTCTAAAGATTTTAAGAATGTGATAATGTTATGTGAGGTAATTTTCTGGGTTTAGTAGGGTATTGATGACATTTTCGTGCTGGACGTCAAAGATTTTAGCTTTTAGATGTAATGAGAATATTTCCCATTGGGAGAGAGAGGACTTCGTAGTTGGTTGTTGAGGTTGTGAATGCATCCATGGTGGCAAGGGAGGTAAATGTGGCTATTATTTTGGTGGGACTACCCACTGAGAAGAAGTGTATTATTGCTCTTGGGCGCGCTGCTTTGATACTGTGATAACTGGCTAATGCGAAAGAGTTATAGAGTATGGTAGAAGAGATAGCTATAAAGAGCATGGATGAACCATTTCTTATTATTTTATAAATTCGGCAGTGTTGTGGCTCTATACAAAGGGAATCTGAGGTATTCAATTGCAGTTGTTGTGTTTGTTTTAAATGTAAGATTGAGATTGAGCTGATGGGTTGAGATGGATGGATGAGATCCATTTTGTTGTGGTAGTGGCTAAATTGTTTTTTTGGCATTTGGCTGTTGGACCCGTTAGTCTGTTTTCACGTGGCTTGTTTTTTGGTGGATTGTGAAGTGGTACGCTGGTGAAAGGAAATTAGGAATTAGATGGGAGAAGTTAGAGAACGATCAAGGATTGACTTTTATCATTATGCAATGCTAATTTCTGGTTCCATAAGATAATGGAGAGGCAGAATATTAAAAACTATAGAGATTTTCTTATTATCATAACTTGGTGGGGATATTCTCTACAATTTTCTTAAAGATTGAATTGTAAATTATTTAAAGACTTATTTGCACTTTTTGGTTAAGTTTTGATTCATAAGCATGTTTAAGGTGTCAGGGCATATTAGCATGATTGATGCCTTGGGCTGTCAACAATTATGGAGATGTAAAAGTAGAAAAAATGCCATTACACTAGGAAATTCTTTCAAAAACTTTCATTGTTCATTGCCAACTCATATTCAACTAAGCTTCAATGTATCATTTTAAACAAGTTAAAGCACAAATAGACTTCTGTTTGATTATGTTTGACTTGTTTTGCTTTGAAGTGTAGGGTTCTTTCCTTCTCTGGTTTTAGCTGATGGCCATGAGTGTATAAATCATAAAATAATTGTACTAAATCATACCCAATAAATCTGAGATTTTTCTCTTTCAGGTCACGTACCACTTCTTCCATTGGAAGAAGGGAACTCCCTTTGCTGAAGACCAGGGTATCTACAACAGATTGACTTGGTGGGAACAAGTAGACAATGGAAAGCAACTTACTGATAACAGAAAATTTTTGACGGTTGCACCTGTGGTCTTGTAAGTAACATTTAACTGCTATTTCTCTATCTTTAACTATTTTTCAACAGTTTTCAAAATTTTTTTCATTTTTTCAATGTTCAGTTAGATATTTCGAATGACTGCATTGAATAGTTGGCTTCTAGCAACCTAAAGATGTTAAGAAGCAAAATATCATAGGATAAGCGTAGGCAATCCTCATTTGAAGTCTCTTTCGGTTTTTTAATATGTATCTTTTACGTTTTCTCTTTACTTGGATGCTTGTAAAGTTGCTCGAATTTTCAGCTTTGCATATGGATTTCTTAGTCGTAATTAGTTGTCTTAAAATTTAATGGTCAGTTTGGGACAATTGCAGTTTTTTTTTTGTAAAAAAACGGTTGTAAAATTGCTAAGGGGAAAACAATTTTTTTTTTAAATTATTGAGTATTATAAATACTTATATTGGACGCTAGCTTTCTTACGGTTACCACATACTATCAGATTTGATTGTTAAAAACAGCTAGCTTCCCATTACATTAACTTTTAAAAACAGCAGGTAACTGTCAAACTGAAGTGCAATAGTGGTCTGAAAAGCAAAGCTGTTAGAATGTTGTCTCAAACGGACCGATACCATTTTTTTTTCCTTGCCATTGCTTGGCGGCCATGCATACTGCTAACTAATAAAGTTGTGGATACTTCTCAAAATTGGATTTGGGTAAGTTTAGTATCTGTAATCTAGGTCATAAAGTTTAATTGCTTTTGGTCCTTAAGTTTGAAGTGGCTTGTAGTGCAGAAAAAAATAAGCGACTTATTCAATTCCATGAAGTCTTAACTGTTTGTCGGGTAACATTTGAAAAATAGATGATGCGTTCTTGCTTTGAACTCTTGGTTTAAGCAAATTTTACACAGTTTTCTCAGATTACATTTTCTCATTCTTATATTGAATCTTGATTCTACTAAAAATTTTAAATAATTCAAGCATGCGGGAGATCAAACTTATTGTTGCAACTATTGTCATTACCTTCCATGCATTCTGGTAGGATAGTTATTGAGTCAAGTTCAATCAAGTTGCGTCAGACTCAAACTAAAAATACATGAGTTGGGTCGATTTCAAATTCTCTGATTTCAATTCCTTGAAATAGTTTTGGGCCAATTAAAATAAATTTACAAATCACACAGTTTCATATCTATATGGGACAATCATGAAACAAAAACCTCATATTAAAAATTTCATAGTATATCATGAAGAGATTGTACTTTAATCAACAAAGATAGGTTCTACTTTTTATGTTAACTGTCATAGGACAAGGACTGATAGCATATTTCAAATCTAAAACACTTGCCATAAGGCTCCTAGTCTCCAACCAAATTTGGAAATTGACAAGACTTGACATCAAACATCATAAATGTCTAGTTGGTTAAAGAAATATAACATCTACAACAAAGAACAAAGATTAGATTTAGCAAAGGAATAGGTGAACATGTTGTTTATAAATTGATTGTTCAAATTGCTGAAAATTTTATTGTTCTCTAGAATTATGGAGGCATGTGTTGGCAAATGCACAAGCATAGAGTTCTTAAAAGAGTAGCTCTTGGAAGCGGAACATAGAGAAATGTTCAATTGCGTGATCATGTTTACCTGTAACAGGAGTGAATATAAACCACAACCTAAAAGGTGGAATGGTTCTAGCAGCATAATGAATATTTATAGTTATGTATTTGAATAGCCAAAAAGGTTTATTAAATGTAAATATTAGTGGAATACTGTGTACATGCTAGAAGCATCTTCATCATCATTAATCTTATCCAAACTATTTAAGATACACATTATAAATTTTAAAATTTCATTCATTCTTGTTGAATACTAATTAATCTATTAAACCTATTATTCTTGAATTATTTTGAATGCTTTTATGAATGTAAACACATTTTTTAGGTTTACTCCTTATTAAACCTATTTTTTCATTCATTATAAATTTTAATTTTTCTTAAGTCGACTCCTTATTCTTCCTTGTTCTTTGACACTAATTTTATCCAATATTTTAATACACATTTTTAATCTTTTATTACTCAGAGGCTAAATCACTTATATTTATTCAATCACATATCATTAGTAGATGCTATGTCATATTCCTTTTTGATTTTAATAATTTTTTAAATTTTCTTTTATGGTTTCGCCACTTATATTTATGTTATTGTATACTTATGTGCTACATAACCTTAATTTTCTCATTTATGCTACACTCACTTCAGATATTAATGACTTTTAACAACCTAATATTTGAATCTATACAATATCATTGGTCTAATTATAGCTTTATAAAAATTACCTTTAAGCATCCATAATATCTCCTTTCACACAAAACTTTAAGTTGTTTCTTTGCTAAAACTATTTCGCCGTAACTCAAATAATCATATCTTCATCTTTATATTTATTCTTCTTCATAATATATTTGAAATACTTTCTATCGCACATGAGTATCTTTCATTGTCTAATTATATGGAATAATAATTGTGGACATCTTGTAGATAAAATTAAATGTCATATAATTTTGTTTTTTATTTTAATTTTAGGTTCATTACCTTCTAAACACTTTTCATTTTGATTCTGTACTTTTTTAAGTAAATGTCTGGCCAATTAGAATTATTTTATCCATAGGAAGCATACATTAAGGCTCTTTACATTTAATATCTTAACTTAATGTTGATCCTCAATTTAAATATATGATAATTGAAAATTCTTTTTTTACTGCACAATTATTTTTAATACTTGTTTATGCTTGATTATACGTATTTTCAATAATGTTAACATAAATTTGACACTCATTTCTATCTTGAAGCACATCATATCAATTTTTATGGTGTACTTAATTACATGTCTTTTCGAGATGAAAATCACGTGAAAATCCTTCTTTTATATATCCATTCCTATCTACCAATTATTTTAACACAAAAATTATTTTTATAATAGATCTTTTGATATAAAATCAAATTGATTCTTCAATTTTGATATATATTTCTCAAGTTTGTATTCCATTTTTTCTCCCATAATCTACATTCATTGTACTACTCATAAAATTATATTATTACATTTAGCATTATCTTGGACATAACCTTTATTAATAAAATTGGTATTACAATACTTCTTTTTCGATCATATGATATTTTTAATCATAAAGTTCTGCTAAAAATATTTTAAATTAAGCCACTCTAACTCTTCAAACTTTAATTGGCATCTCATATGCAATTAAAGTCTTGCATTTATTTTAAGATTAACTTCATTTCATTTTTTTTGGATTAATCTATAACTCATTTCACAATATTATTCATTATGTTCTTTTACAATAATTTATTTTCTTGGTATCTGTGTTATAAATTTTTCATTATTTTAATCATTCAATGATGTATTCCTATTTAACAATTTTTTTTCCTTCATTTTTAATGCATTTTGATTGCAATCTTTAATTCTCATGTCTTATTTTAGCTATTGTGTATATCTCGTTTTTATATTTTCTTAGCATCAAACCTATTATATCAACAACGAAAAGCCTCGACGACAACCCTTTATCCCACTAAGTGGGGTCGGCTACATGAATCTTTTTTCTCCATTTTGTCATATTTTGATTTAATTCTAATAAATTAAGATCATTTTTTTATACAATGTTTCAATCTTTTTAGGTCTACCTCTGCCTTTCTTAACATAAGTCGAATCTAAAATATCTACTCTCCTAACCGGATCATCAGATGATCGACGTTTAATGTGACCAAACCATCTAAGACGATTCTCTCTAATCTTGTCCGCCATTGCAGCTACACTAACCCTATCAGGGATATTTTCATTTCACATTTTGTCTCTAAGTATCAAGTCACTCATCCACTTAAGCATTCTCATCTAGCAACACTAAACTTTGTTTTACTCTTCTCTTATAAAAGCCAACATTCTGCGCCATAGAGCATTGCAAGCCTCAACACCATATTATAAAATTTCCCTTTTAAGTCTAAGTAATACTTTTCGATACACAATAAGCCTAATACATTCCTCCACTACAACCAACCAACTTAAATTCTACTAATAACGTCCCCATCTATATATAAAATTGAGAAATTCTTAATAGTAGTTTCAATATCCTATGGAGCTGTGAATGATTTTGATTGTGGAAATAGTTTTATTGGTAGAAGTTTTGATTGTGGAAATGTTTGAATTGTAAAAATTGGGAGTTTAGGAGGGATAAATGAATGGATGAACTTCCTTGAGACTATGATTTTGATCTACTAACTCGATTGAGTTGGTGAATAAAATTTCCCTTTAAGTCTAAGTGATACTTTTCTATCACACAATAAGCCTAATACATTCCTCCACTACAACCAACCAACTTAAATTCTACTAATAACGTCCCCATCTATATATAAAATTGAGAAATTCTTAATAGTAGTTTCAATATCCTATGGAGCTGTGAATGATTTTGATTGTGGAAATAGTTTTATTGGTAGAAGTTTTGATTGTGGAAATGTTTGAATTGTAAAAATTGGGAGTTTAGGAGGGATAAATGAATGGATGAACTTCCTTGAGACTACGATTTTGATCTACTAACTCGATTGAGTTGGTTACTCTATAAGAGCATGAGTTTGGTCTATAAATTTTCTAATTATTTTCTCTTGTAAGTTTGGAAAATTCTTTATGTCTTTAATCTGTAGGGTATTTATAAAAATTGGAATGGTCTACGAAATGAAGAGGCTACTTGGTATGAGGCTTTGGATTCTTCTCCTAGTGATTTCTTTGTTTGCTCTACCTCTATGTTAGTGGTAAACTGATAGAAATCTGTGTGATATGCTTTCTCATTTGCAAAGGAAGTGTCATGGGTGGCCACACTTTGTTTGCTGATTGGATGATAGCACGTACAGCTACAAATTGGCAACTATTTCAGCGGTGCTCTAACACTTCACTTTACACTACCCCTTAATTGGTTTAGGTACTTGATTTTTAAATAAAGACTTTTGTAGTTGGCTTCCCTATCTTTCTATATTTTGTTATTTAAGAGATG